TAAACTCTCTTATGGTTTGTTTCTGGTCAAATATGCATACTTATAAGGGGTTGGTAGGTCTATAATTTGTTCTGTTAAGGATATCTTTTTTTCCAGAAAGCAATTCTTTTAAGGGTATCCTCTAGTATACACCATTTTTTTCGGCTTAGGGATCACATATTATGAGGTATTCCATTTGTTTGTTAGTGGTAATACTTGAAATAATAATGATGCAATCGTGATGTTAATTGAGAACACGGGACTAGGTTTTTCATACTCAATGAAGTTCTTCTGTAGCTATGCTCATTTATTATGAAAGATTAGATGCCTTTCAAAAATTTTATTTCATGATTTAAGGATGAAGCAGCCATGAAAATTGCCTTTCAATTTCAATGCGTGACATCGAAATTGGAGAAAGTGTTGGAAACCCTACCATATGATCATTTTGACATCTCCGAAGAAGTGCAAGAACAGGTAGGACTTGAGCTCTATGTGGTATGCTTATGTCAGCCAAATTTAGTCATAACATCTCCTCTTTTTCCAGGTTAAATTGGTGAGAACTCAATTGAGACGAGCCGCAGAAAGATATGGTAAAACAAGTTTACCATCTTGTGCCTTGTCTCAGCCGCTGGACGGACAGATTGAACCGCAAGAATCAGCAAACAGTAAAATCGGAAGCTTGAACAAGGAAAATATTTGTAATCTTGATCATGAAGTCAGAGCAATGGTGGAAAGTGCAAAAGATTCCATATTAGATCAGACGATTCACAAAGTGGAAAGGCCGAGAAAACTCCTCCACGACATCTAAGTTTGGCCTGTCAAACAGTGGTGATGTTGACAAGGAAGACAACTCAACCAGTAATAATTTGCAGGAGAATAAGAAGCCTAATCCTCCTGTAATTCCTAATGATTTCCTCTGCCCTTTATCTCTCGAAGTGATGAGGGATCCTGTTATTGTGGCCACAGGGCAGGTATGATTTGTCCTTCTGTGATGTCATTTTAGCTTTTTTTGTTGTTTCTTTTATATGAAATTAATAGAGACAAAACCATTTTTTCATACGTGCCTTGTAATTTTATCTCTCTTCGTCCTACAGACATACGAGAGATCTTACATACAGAGATGGATAGATTGTGGCAACACATCATGCCCAAATACTCAACAGAAACTCCAAAATTTCACTCTAACCCCAAATTACGTCTTGAGAAGTTTAATTACTCAGTGGTGCACGAATCACAATATTGAGCAACCAACGATATTGACAAATGGGAAGATAAAGAAGAGTGATGGGTCATTCCGTGATATTAGTGGGGACATAGCAGCCATTGAAGCTCTTGTTCGGAAGCTTTCAAGCTTGTTAATTGAGGAACGCAGGGCTGCAGTGTCTGAAATCCGATCACTATCTAAGAGAAGCACAGATAACAGGATAATAATTGGGGAAGCTGGAGCTATTCCAATTCTGGTTGACTTATTGACATCTGAAGACATTTTAACAAGAGAAATTGCTGTCACCTCCATTCTCAACCTGTCTATACATGAGATTAACAAGGAGCTCATAATGCTTGCTGGTGCCATTCCTTCTATTGTCCAAGTCCTCAAAGCTGGAAGCGTTGAAGCAAGAGAGAATGCAGCAGCAACCCTTTTTAGCTTGTCAGTTCCAAAAGAGAACAAAATTATAATCGGTGAATCAGGAGCAATACCAGCTTTGGTAGAATTTCTACAGGAGGGAAGCATGCGAGGGAAGAAAGATGCTGCAGCAGCACTGTTTAGTCTGTGTATTTATCCGCGGAACAAGGGTAGGGCTGTCAGGGCGGGGATTATTATGGCATTACTGAAAATGCTCACAGATTCAAGCAGGTGCATGGTGGATGAATCTCTGGCACTACTCTCAATTCTTGCTAACCACCCAGAGGCTAAGGTTGCTATTGCAAAAGCTAGTTCCATTCCTTTCTTGATAGATCATATGAGGATAGGCCTGCCCCGCAACAAAGAGAATGCAGCTGCCATTTTACATTCCCTGTGCAAGAGAGATACTGAGAATATTGCTTGTATAAGTAGGCTTGGTGCAGTCATACCCCTGACTGAGCTTTCCAAGAGTGGCACAGACAGGGCCAGGCGGAAGGCTACTTCATTGTTAGAGCATCTCCGAAAGTCACAACAGCTCTAACAGGTGTAGTGTCATTGAATAAGTTAACTATTTGCTTCTTTGATTTTGCCTGGCAATGAATGTTACACGTTTTCTTTAGGCGTGTGAAAAAGAGTTGAGAATTTGAGCTTGAGAAGTAAGGCCATTCTCATTGTGTATTTACCGACTTCGTTTTCAAATATTCATCCGACCTTTTTGTTTCGAAATTTTTAACAAAGATGATATATTTGTGGGATGAAAGTAATGGAGACTATGAATTTTTTCTTGACAACTCGCTACTAATATCATTAGTGACAATTCTTCTGGAAAATTATCACATTCATATCACCAGTGACAAGGTGTAATATTGTAAGAGTGGTTCAAATCCAAGTGCTATGGAAATTATTTGTTGGTCACATTATCTGGAGTGCTAGCAGTACCCCACAAGTCTTCCTTGGGCCTTTAGAGGAGATAAACTCAAGTTGGTCACAACCTGATTGATACTTAAACTAGTTTGTTGCAGCATCCCAAAAAATAAAAAAACAAAAAAACAAAAACTAAGGTTGCGTTGGATAACACTTATTTTAACAGTCGTTTAGGGAAAAAATAAATGAAAATAGTTGCTTGACACTCATATAATCATATTGCTTCCACTGTGTGATGCCATTACAATTAGATTTGTCAACGGATCAAATTCAATCTGATAATTCGACGAATTTTATTTTCATCGTCTATATCCAAATCTGTTAACAATTCGAGATTCGATCCAAATAACTTAATTAACTAATTTTTAACAAACTATACCTCAATTTCAACTAAATTTTTTTAAATAATCACTTAATTTTTTTAATATTTTATATAAAAATATATAAATAATTCGGATCGATTATAAGCATATCTAAATCCGAATCTATTAAATATAATGTATCGGATTTGAATTCGGGATTAGATTAAGAGTAAACAATATTAATCTATATTGGACTAATCAAATTTGAATTTAAATCAGAATCCGATTAATTGAGGGACGCAATTATGATGTAATTCAATTGTTAATACTAACACAGTAACACAAACACCAGAGTCTGAATGGAATCTCAACAAGTTCTTGAATCCACACATTTGGGCTTCACTGTTGAAACTGTGGTTTGAAGAAAGCAACGTTGTATCAACCACTTTTGGCAGTTTTATTTGCTGTTGCATTGCTTTGTGACTTTTGCATGTCGTTAAGTAGAAATAATACTACTGTTGCTATTGCAACACACCTCCTTTAGTGCAGTCGAAAGCGACCTCAGGTTGGTTCATGTCACTTCTCAAGACATATTAGCTTCGGGTCCCATCATTTTGAGTTCATATAATATTTTTGATTGGAAAAAATATTCGATACCGTACTATTTACTATTTTTTTGGATATCTATTTACACCTAAAATCTGTATATATTATCTTTTGGGCAACGTTTATCAACTTTTATGATCCGTTTAGTAGAGAGGATGAAAAATAAGAGAGATACACTTCTATCTTTTAATGATGAAAAATAGGAGGGATATATTTTCTATCCTTCAAGGATGAAAAATAGAAAGAATACACTTTCCTTTCTTTGTGTTTGGTTAATTGGATGGATGGAAAAAAAAAAAATTATTATTTTTTGTATGCTAGCTAAGATTAGGGGTGACAATCGAGTCAAGTCGTGTCGTGTCAGATTCGTGTTAAGTCATTACGAGTTTGTGTCGAATATTAATCAAACCTAACTTAACTTATTTAATTAATTTTGTCGTGTCGAGTTACGAGTTGACCTGTTTATTTTCGTATCGAATTTGAGTCATGTCATGATGTTGAGTTTAAAATTTTCACTCTTAGTTAAGATGGAAAAAAAAATTAAAATTTTTTATTTTTTATTTTTTAAAAATATATATACATATTTTACCATTGCATTTTTATATGAAATTAATGTATGCATAAGTTATATAGACAAATAAAATACATCTCCACACAAATAATTAACTTTTCATCCACTTTCCTTTCGATTTTAGAGGGATTGATATTTTGATGAATTGGAAAAAAAAGTTAATTCATCCACTTTTTCATCTTTCTACTTTTCTTCCTTACCAAACATGATATTTTTTTTATCCCTCTAATTTTCTATCCTTCCAACTTTCTATCTTCCCACTTTTCCATCCTACCAAATGAAGCATTAGAGTAAATTCACCTTTTGGGTTCACTTATGACTCTTTTATTTTTTGGCACTCGAAATAGATACACAGATAAGTCATTGTACATATTCGTCAGCAAACATTGTCTCTCAGCATCACACACCTATCTACAAGGAATTCCACCACACTTACGTCGGAGCCGAAACTAAGGTCCTATCGCGTGCTCTAAACATTAAAGTGTAGATTTAGCCCCAATGAACTTCTATAGTTATGGAGATTCGAATTCAAACATTGAGTGAGAAAATTCAAATTCTTACCTACTAAGCCAACAACTCGTTGGTCACTTATCACTCTTTCGAGTGAAAGTAACTTATCACATTTTTAGATTTTTTTACTTTTTGATATGATACCAAAAAATAAAAATAGATACTGTAAAATTTCTCTTATATCATATTCAAATCATAATTATAAATAGAAACCACAATTTTATGTTCTTTACTCTTCTAGAAAATATTTTGGTTTTCGAGAATTCATATAATATTAGATCAAAAAAAAAAAAAGAAATTTTTTGACAAAATCAGCAGGGTGTTTCTTGGTGGAAAAGAGCTAAATGAAACATTCATGCCAGTGGAAAGGATTTTCCTGGAAGTATGCAGTAGGGCAGAAGATCAAATTTTTATGCTCGTTTAATATTCAAATAGGGTTTTAACTAATGTGCAGCTCAGCTTAGCACACTTGAGCTCGGTTCATTTTTAATATAATCAAACATTTTTGCAGTGAAAAAAAGTAGCAAATTAACACTCTTAGCCTATGTATGACGTGTTTTTGACGTCTAATTAAGAGACTCTGAATTATAGTCTCATTGGAAGTCTTTTTTTTTTGGAATTTACTCGAGATTTGAATTTGAGCTAGTAGTACAAAATTGGAAAAGGATTATCAAGAAGCGGGGTCAAGCTTGAGTAAGAGTCTAAAATCTGAAAGTGATACTTGAGCACGTGATGGTCTATTTTTTTTCAATAGTCAAGAGTATTCTGGTCAACTTACACGTACCTCGATTAATCTCCTCTTCGATCGGATCAAAAATAGATCATTCATGTCGGTATTAAGATATTTATGAAAGATAAATCTCTCATGACCTGATCCCAAGAAAATATCAAGATTCAAATATAAAACGTTTGAATTTACAGTTTGCCCCTATTACTATTTAAACAAAAATCATAGCATCTTAGGCCGAGCTTGACCCATACCAAAATTTGAAAATCTAACATTAACATGGAAACCCATTGAACCAAATATTTCTAATATGTGCCTAATTGATCGAAATTTCAACCTTCAAAACAAAGAGGAGAAACATCATGTTTTTTCATATCTGTGTCTGATAGGTCATTCTTTGTCCAGGATAACAATAGAAAAGATCAGTTGTTTACAAGAAATTTGATCGACGGAACATCAAAATGGACTTAACAGTAAGTCGTACTCACATGTTTCAAGATAAACACAAACTTTGTCCATCATCTTTTACTTTTATAAAAGACTAGAACAGTATTAACAGTCATACGAATTGATCGGTGCCTTAATAAGCTTTGATATTTCTTTTTGGTATGCGTGTTCAAGTTTCTATCGAGTTTCGTCTACTCTCGCGAAATCAATTGTTCAAAAATTTTAATATGTCAAATACTAAATCAAAGTATACTCTAATATATTTTTTTTTCCTTCTTCAATAGATTTTCCCCTGATTACATATTATGTATTATTGAGAGACTCATTTATATATGATAGGGGTTGTTTGGTACAGGGTTGTTGGAGGACTTGACAAGATGGATTTGAATAAAAATAGTCCAAAAGACCTTCAAATCTTATGTTTGAATTAGATGTTTAGTCCCAGATTCTCAAAATCAGCCAGTAATTGGGTCAAAGATTAAACTCATGATCATAAGTTTCGTCAAACCTAGGAAGAGGTGGGTTTGGAAAGATGAATAAGGGGTTAAGAATGCAAAAGATAAATGTACCCCTTAATATGAGTATTAATTGAATTGATTAAGAGTAGAATAGTTATTTATAGGACAAATAGTTATTAATAATTATGATATATCCGTGAGTTCTATATATGTATGTGTTATATATCAAACATGAGTATGAACTAAATTAAATGTTGAATAACATTTTTGTAAAGAGAGATTTGAGTTTAGAAAGATTTAGAGAAGTCAATTCAAACCCCTCTCCAAAATTCATCCAAGCAAGCCCTTTGTCTATTTGGAGTTGGCTTAAAATCTTAGTTTTTTTTTTTATTTTAAAAGAAAAAGAAGTCTAATCTGTTTGGACTTGGATTTATTGGGTGATTTTTTCATCAATTTTTTGGACAAAAATAGATTTTATCAACACCAAGAAAAAAAATGAAAAATGGGACTTATCCAAAACTTTCCAAGAAAAAGTCAATTTTTTTAAAAACACTTCAAATAGTTCTAAGAGCTTTTTTAACTTTAATTTTTTTATTTCATTTTGCAAACATATATTTTGCACTCAAAAAAATTAATTCTAAACGGGTCTAATATTCTGTTTAAATTTACGATAAATGATCTTTCAAGAAGAGAAAATCACTGTAAATAATATTAGAGCTTATGCTACACACCTAAATTTTAAGTTTTTCGCAAGTTAAAGGTCTTAATAGGGCAGTTCATTGGGTGGCTACAACGACACTGTGTGATTCCATTACTGTGAATTGTGTTAGCTGTCCTTTCGTAGAGTTTCACGTTTGTTTTGCATTTGACCGTAGTCATACCTTTTGTACTTGAATAAATTTTTTTATCTACCTGATAAAAAAAAAAGAAGAAGAAAATTACTTTAAAAAAAAAAAAGGTATGAAACAGGATTAAATTCTATTATATTCTACTCTTCAAATGATGAATTTCATCATGATGGAAATTTAATCACTCCCAACAATAACACTGAAGTCAAATCACACATGATGAATAGAATCTCAATGAAATTCTTGAATCCACACCGTGATTAGTGTAAGCCATTTTCATTGACAAAAGTGAGCGATAAAAATAATGTAATTATCTCTCCTTTTGTCTCCCACTTATCACGGGTTTAATTTTGTAGGTTTCAAACCAAACAATTTTGTCCCTTTATTGCATTCAAATTCTTTGAAATTGGGTTGAATTTTCGGATTGTGTAGTTCAGTCAAAACATTATTATTAAATAACACACATGTTATACTCCTTTTTATTAAATTAAATTTTTAAGATAGATAGTGGTTTAATATCGTGGTATAATTTACAAAATTCGAGTTTAAATAACACCAAGACCTCCTTCCTTCTTACATAAGAGGAAGAAAAAAAAGAATTAAGTGAAGAGTATTACAATACTTGTGTTACACCTTTCTCGATGAGTTTGGCTACCCTCGTATTTAAGAAGATTGAGTGGTTAAGATTTACACATCAACATATTTAGTAGATTTTGAATTTTAAAATCTTTTTGAATTAATTTAATATGTATTGATTATGATCATTCAAAGAGAACTGACAATCCTCAAATTCTTAAAAATTGGAAGTGAGTCCAACCTTTTTCCAATAGCTTAAGATTTTAGGGTTGATAATAGTTTAACAATAAATGGTGGAAAAACTCATGTGGCCAAGATTTAGGGATAAAAAATACTACACAATCTAAATAGATCCAACATGTTAGGTGAGTGAGCCCCACTGAAAAATTGATGGGACACATTCATCTAATAAATAATATTCATTTGGATTATAATTTTTTTAAATTTTATTTTGAGTTATATAGCATTACAATTCAAACTTTAAGGTCTTGGCTAACATGTAGGTAACAAGACAATACAATCAAATTCTGGTTGCACTAAGTTTATTGTGTATTATTTTTGGCCAAATTATATGTGAAGTTTGGTCCAATTTCATAGGATCCAAACTCAATTACATTTGAATGCAAAACGAAGGGTTGTTGATATGCATACAAACAGCAAAATGTGGGGAAACAAGTTGGTTTGAATTAATATAGCAAAGGGTCACATGCACACTCTTTCATTTGTCAAACAGTTGATGCAAATATTCAAAATTTGCACTCTTTCTTTGACCCATAACCTCCCTACCACAACCACCGCCAATAAAACTATAAATACCCTCAAATTACACACCCACCATGCCATATGACCTCTTGGTGGGACAAAGAGGGGGACCCAAAAGTACATCTACCAAGAGAGAGACAGACAAGGTTCTCTTGTTCATTTTTATAATCACAGGAGAGAATCCAAAGAGAGTGAAGAGAACAAGAATGGGTAACAGTTTAGGAGGAAAAAAAACAGCTAAGGTTATGAAAATCACCGGCGAGACAATCAAGTTAAAGACTCCTGTGAAGGCCGGTGAGGTTGTTAAGGACTATCCCGGCCATGTTTTGTTAGATTCCGAGGCAGTTAAGCATTTTGGAATTCGAGCAAAACCCTTGGAGCTTCACGAGGAACTGAAGAAGAAAAGAGTCTATTTCCTAGTGGAATTGCCTAAGTTTCCTGATGAGAAAGTTCCAAGAAGAGTCCGGTCAGGGATTCACATGAGTGCGAAAGACCGGCTCGAGAGCCTAATGCTGGCTAAGAGATCTGCATCGGACCTTTCTGTCATGAGACCGAGGAACATTATGCTCGAGGAGTCGAAGGAAGGAAAAGAAAATGGTCATGTGAGGATGAAAATGAGGCTTCCCAAGGCAGAGTTGGCACGGTTGATGACGCAAAGCAAAGACAAGGCCGAGGCAGCTCAGAAGATTGTGGATCTTTACATGGATAACAACTCCAACGGTGGTGGTGGTGGTGGCAGTGGCAGTGGCGGGGAGGCCGACAAGGTGCATGATGGTGCATTGTTGCACCAACAATTGCATTGGAATGGTGGCAGTCAAGGAAGAGCTAAGGTATGTTTTTCTTCAGACACTGATCCGGTTTTCATGCCATGTTTTATGGGTTTGATATTTCTTATTGTTCATATCTACGTTTATAATATGAAAGACTGGGGAATTGTGACGATGAGAATGGAAGTCATTGATTGACCCCCACAGAGGTAGTTTAAGTTCTTTCACCAATAAGTTATAAATTTAGACATTTTAAATTTGAATTTTGATAATTTTTTAGACCGGTCTATAATAGTTTTATACCTTATTAATATCTTAATTTTGGCATGGAAAACTTGCTTCTGATCGAATCAGGGAGGGAATTAGTCAAAATACATGTAAGTTAGACTCCAACTCATTTTCATCCAGAAGTTTTGTGTATTTTTCTTAAGTTTCTGGATCTATTTTGGGAATTCTCTTGCACATGTAGCAGCCAATTGATGATTAATTCTTCTCATTTTTTTGAGTTGTAAAAGTATAAATTGATTTTTTATATTTAAATTTTGTTATCATATTTTTTCTCATTGATAATATTGCTAATCTAATTATTTTTTCTTGTGACAATTGATTTTAAGTAAGATTTTACTAATTTTAATTTTGAAAAACTTCTTTTTGTAGAAGTAACTATTACAAAAATTAATAATAATATTTTATAAGCAATGCATACATTTGAGAAAAAAAATCTAATCTTTTTGTATAATTTAGTGTCCCAATTAGAGTATTTTCTTTCATTTATAAAATCTTCTTTAAAATATTTTATATTAAAAATAAATCTAAACTATCAATATTAAAAAAATTGTTATATTTTAAGAAACATCCGAAATAGAGAGAGGAAGTGATTAAGGATGGGTGAGTGAATTATAACTTGACTTTTGAGTATCTCATCAGTTTTTTTTTTAATGAAATTTTGATTTTTTAGGTTATTATTATTATGGGTTGAATCGTGAGCTCAAAAAATTATTAAAATTAAAATTTTTGATTGGCCTTAAATTTTAACTAAAGATTTTTTTATAGGGCTTGTAATTTACATAGACTAAAAATTCTAAAGTGTGCCAACTATTTACCTAAAATTAGGAGGCCTTCTAAAATTATAGAGCCTAAAGTCCAAGTTTTTTTACTTCTATAGTTAGGCATGCCCTCCTCGGTTAGTTGATAAGCTCTTCGGTAAGAGTAAATCAAGGATTGAAACTTCTTACGAATGTATATATCCTTTAAAATCATCGTACGAATAGGGTGCACAAAGGAAGTGACATTCATTGAAAGCGAAGCATCGTAAGCTGCAATAACACTTTCACTTTCAGTACTCAAATTTAACCCCTCGTATGTAGAGACGTGCTTGAGTGGAAAACTATGAGTTTGGCGACTTCCCACACAAATGGACAATTTGGTGATCGGGGATAAGATTTTCCCAAAAGTTTTTAGTCCTTTTGCATGACTACCAATATACAATTCTTCAAGTCCCCTTGGTAATAAAAAGGTTTGGCATTTGTTTGACTACCAATATATAAAAAAAATGAATTGACACTATTCTACCAACTAGAGACTCTATTACGTCAGAGTTACTTCATTAATACATGTCAAAAGATGTGGCTGCTATGGGAACTTGGGACTCATTGCAATCCATCTGCATCGAGTCAATTAGCACGTCTCTAGCGAGTCTTGAACTCTTGAGAGCACTAAGATGTAGCAAAAGGGTGATATGTATTTGTTACCAAGAAAAAACTTGTAAAAAGAAGATGGAAAGAGAAAAGAATGAACTAAACAATCAGTTCATGTCTATTAATCATGCGTTTTAACCTTTCTTCTTATTTTTCTACGAGGAATAATTTTATTCAGATTTATAATCATTATTGATTTTGGTTGGTTACACTTGCAGAAGAGAGTCGGTTTTCTGCTCGTCGATGAACAGGAGATTCAATTAGCTGTGGCCTCTTAGCAGCCGATGATCATACGTTGCAAACAGTTGAAAGTGAACCAGAAACAATGCAAGATTCAAAGAAAGAAGAAAAAAAAATTTCCCTCTTGCGTCTACATACTCCAGCAAATTTCCCAGCAACCAAACACACTTGTTTTTGTGTTACCTCTGTACAAGGAACAACAAAGCTGTGAAATGCTGAGAATTAGAAGATAGCTTTAGGTGGTTTCACACAAGTAGATGTTTTTGGAAATAACTTTAGTATGACTTGTATAATAGTTACAAGACTCTTGCAATAATGCTGGCTGTTCCAACTTCTCCTCACATGAAGCCTCTGGCCATGAAAGAGAACAATTAATCCTCTGTCAAATCCTGCAACACATTAACAATATTAATATTTCAAGCTTCACACACACACACACACACGCACACAAATATGTGTTATTGGCCATTCTGATAATTAATATTCTAAAATATTGATATAGTCAATATTATTTGTTAGAGTTGACTACCGGGTATTTTCAGAGTAATTTTTTACAACCATTCACGGTGTTAGGTTTTTCGGTCAAAAATAGCCTTTACTACCTTATTATATTACTTTTTTATTCATTGATAAAATAATTATAACAACTTTTGAATACTGCATCGATAGCAGAAGAGTGGTGAAGAGAAATCCGAAAAAGACTACCATTAGTCTGTTGGTTGACATAAGTGTTGGGAAAATAGACTTTCCCACAAGTATAAATCAATGGAAGCAATATAAATAAAATAACAGAAAATAAATAAGCACACAAGATTTACGTGGTTCCCTCAAATAACTTGAGGTACATCCACGACGACCGGTAGGTCAGTTTCTTCCACTATCACCAAATCAGATTACAAAGTGGCTAAAAGGCATAAGCCTTACAAACACACCAAGGTGTAAATCACAAGAGGAAAATACCTCACAAAATAAGTGAACCAAATCTCCAAGAACAAACCGCAAGAAACCCAAATATCAAGTGAAGAAATATTACCCACTTGAAAAACAAATTTGCAGATTTTTCTGGTACCAAAAAAGGAGAAGAAGAAGACTGAATTTTTGTTGAACCAAAGACTGCCGAAAATATGTCTTCTTGCCTAACCAACAGAGAAAAAATAAACCAAAGAAAAGGACAAAACTTATAGTCTTTGGTGGCTGCCAAATTCCTTTTTAACTAGAAGACTCCAAACCAAGTCTTGGATAAGAGTCCTACACGGGTAGGCCACCAAAAAATTAGCAAATTGATGAGTCCCACAAAGGAGGGAAACCCAACAATTCTCCCCCTCCCGACTTATGTGGAGGATTCGACCATTCCCGCCAAAAGTCGACACTTCTCATGCTTGTCCTTAGTCAATGTCTTAGTTAACATATCCGAAGTGTTATCATCAGTGTGAATTTTTTCAAGTTGTAACAACTTATCATTCAAGACATCACGAATCCAATGATATCTAACATCAATATGTTTCAATCTCGAATGAAATGAAGAATTCTTGCTCAAGTGGATTGCACTCTGACTATCACAATGAAGGACATACCTTTCTTGTTTCAAACCCAACTCTTGTAAGAATTCCTTCAACCACAATAATTCTTTGCAAGCTTCAGTGATGGCGATGAACTCAGCTTCTGTGGTGGAGAGAGCAACACATTTCTGTAATCTTGATTGCCATGCCACTGCTCCCCCTGCAAAAGTAATCAAATAACCAGAAGTAGATTTTCGACTATCAACATCACCAGCCATATCAGAATCTGTGAACCCATCAAGAATAGGCTCGCCTTTACCAAAACACAAACTCATCTTTGAAGTGCCCTGAAGATACCTCATAATCCATTTCACTGCTGCCCAGTGTTCTTTCCCTGGATTAGACAAAATCGACTGACAACCCCAACTGCGTGAGCAATATCCGGTCGAGTACAAACCATGGCGTACATCAAAGAACCAACTGCTGAAGCATAGGGAATTTTCTGCATCTCATTTCTCTTTTCATCACTTGTAGGACACTGACTTGAGCTTAGTTTGAAGTGGCCTGCAAGTGGACAATTAACAGGCTTTGCTTTGTCCATATTGAACCTCTCAAGAACCTTTTTAATATAATTCTCTTGAGATAACCAAATCAGCCCATGTGATCTGTCACGAACAATTCTCATCCCAAGAATTTGCTTTGCTGGACCCAAATCCTTCATGGCAAAGGACTTACTCAACTCTGACTTCAACTTGCTAATCTTACTCGTGTCTTGGCCCACAATAAGCATATCATCAACGTAAAGCAAGAGAATAATAAAATTATCATCTTTATATTTCTTCACAAACACACAATGGTCTGAAGTGGTTCTTGAATACCCATTCTCACTCATGAAAGCATCGAATTTTCTGTACCACTGCCTCGGTGCTTGCTTCAATCCATACAAGCTCTTCTTCAATTTGCAAACTAACTGATCATTACCCTTATCTTTGAAGCCCTCAGGTTGCTCCATATAAATTTCCTCTTCTAAGTCACCATGCAAAAATGCGGTCTTCACATCAAGCTGCTCAACTTCTAAATTCATACTCGCAGCTATACCAAGCACAGTTCGAATGGAGGACATCTTCACAACTGGTGAGAAGATCTCATCAAAATCAACTCCCTTTCTCTGATCAAAACCTTTCACGACAAGTCGTGCCTTGAATCTCGGTTGAGAACTGTTCCCATCATTCTTTCGTCTGAAGACCCATTTATTTTTCAAAATTTTCTTCCCTTTAGGCGGCTTCACCAAATCATAGGTGTGATTCTCATGCAAAGACTTCATTTCCTCTTTCATTGCCTTGAACCATTCAGTTTTGTTCTCATGCTTCAAGACTTCTTGATAAGTCCCTGGCTCCCCCTGATCTGATATCATCACATACTCATTTGAAGAATATTTTCTGGATGGCTGTTTTTCTCTAGTAGATCTCCTTAACGGTGTCTGTGGTAGTGGCTCTTGGGGTGATTGCTCCCCCTCAATCTCTGGCTCAACATCATCTTCTGCTGCATCATCATGAGGTGTTTGCACTTCCTCATCAATATCATGAACAACAGAGGGATTGAGAGGATCTAAATCAACAAGATCATCAGTACTAGACTCAGCTGACTCAAGCTTGTCGATGTCTTCAATAGTCTGATCTTCCAAGAAAACAACATCTCGGCTTCTGACAACTTTCTTGTCAACTGTATCATACAACCTGTATCCAAATTCTTCATGCCCATAGCCAAGAAATATGCATTGCTTTGCTTTTGGATCAAGCTTGGACCTTTCATCTTTTGGAATATGAACAAAAGCTCTGCAACCGAATACCCTCAAGTGATCATAGGAGACTTCCTTCCCTGTCCAAACTTTCTCTGGCACATCACCATTCAACGGAACTGAAGGAGACAAATTGATAAGATCAACTGCGGTCCTCATTGCCTCACCCCAAAAGGATCTTGGCAATTTAGAATGTGAGAGCAAACATCTGACTCTCTCAAGAATGGTGCGATTCATTCTCTCTGCAACCCCGTTCTGTTGAGGTGTCTTTTTAACTGTCTTTTCATGCCTGATACCATGATTTGTGCAATACTGATCAAATGGTCCAATATATTCACCACCATTATCCGAGCGAACACATTTCAACTGTCTACCTGTTTCTCTTTCAACCTTGGCCTGAAAAATCTTAAACACATCTAGAACTTGATCTTTAGTTGTCAGTGTATAAGCCCAAACTTTTCTAGAGTGATCATCAATAAAAGTGACAAAGTATAGAGCACCACCAAGTGTCCTAACTTTCAAAGGACCACATACATCAGAATGTACCAAATCTAAAACATGAGATTTTCTAGATGCAATGTTTCTACGGAATGATATTCTGTTTTGTTTACCATGGAAACAATGAACACAAGTTTTCAAAGGCGTACCTTTTATCCCCACTAGAAGCTCTTTCTTGGACAAAACTTGCAATCCTTTTTCACTCATATGTCCAAGCCTTCTATGCCATAAATCAGTGGATGAGTCATTCTCTAAGGTATTCACAACACCCTTGCAGATTTTTGCTTGCATAGTGTAAAGAGAACAAGTCTTCTTTCCTTTTGCTACCACTAGAGAACCTTTGGAGAGCTTCCATTTTCCATTACTGAAATTGTTGATGTAGCCTTCATCATCTAACTTTCCAGCAGAGATTAAATTGAGTCGAATATCTGGTACATGCCTCACATCTCTAAGCAGCAATTTGCATCCAATATTTGTTTCCAAGCAAATGTCACCCATGCCGACAATTTTTGACACATCTTCATTTCCCATACGGACATTCCCAAAATCACCTTGTGAGTAAGAAGTAAAGAAATCAGCCCGCGAAGTAACATGAAATGAAGCTCCAGAATCAATTACCCAATCCGTCTCTTGGCCAATCAAATTAACGCTAGCATCATCACGGATAATCATGAGTTCATCATCGGTAACTACAGCTGTATCAATTTGCTTTTTCTCTGAATTTTTCTCTTTGTTCTGCTCCTTGAACTTGAGTTTTCTACATTCCCGCTTCATGTGCCCTTTCTTGTGACAATAATAGCATTCAACATCCTTTTTTGACATCGAGCTTGAACGACCTCTAGATTTATCACGGTTGTGCGGAACCCTACTCTTACTCCTGCCTCTCCCCCGGTTTTCCATTACAAGTGCCTCGGAGTAAGAAGAACCTGATGATTTTCTTCTTGTTTCTTCATTCAACAAACTGCTGGTAACTTGACTCATTGTTACCACTCCATCAGGTGCGGAGTTACTAACTGTGACCACCAAAGTTTCCCAGCTTTCGGGAAGTGAACTAAGAAGTAACAAAGCTTGCAACTCATCATCAAAAGTAATTTTCATGGCGGCCAACTGATTCACAATGCTCTTAATCTCATTCAAATGCTCTGCAATAGAAGTACCCTCCTTATATTTAGAGTTCACAAGCTTTCGAAATAAAAAGGCTTTATTCACTGCCGTCTTTCTATCATACAAACTCTCCAATTTGGTCCAAAGACCATGTGCAGATTTTTCTGTAGAGACATGATGAAAGACACTATCATCAATCCATTGCCGAATAAAACCGACAGCTTTTCGGTCTAGCTTTTTCCACTCGTCATCTTTCATCCCTTCCGGTTTGCCACTATCACCCTCTATGGGTCCATTCAAATCTTTACAAAATAAAAGATCTTCCATTTTAGTTTTCCAAGTCACCCAATTTGTGCCATTGAAACTAACCATACGTCCAACGTTGCCGTCCATAATTCACACACAGAAATATAACGAATCGGAACCGAATTAACCAATTGCTCTGATACCAGATGTTGGGAAAATAGACTTTCCCACAAGTGTAAATCAATGGAAGCAATATAAATAAAATAACAGAAAATAAATAAGCACACAAGATTTACGTGGTTCCCTCATATAACTTGAGGTACATCCACGACGACCGGTAGGTCAGTTTCTTCCACTATCACCAAATCAGATTACAAAGTGGCCAAAAGGCATAAGCCTTACAAACACACCAAGGTGTAAATCACAAGAGGAAAATACCTCACAAAATAAGTGAACCAAATCTCCAAGAACAAACCGCAAGAAACCCAAATATCAAGTGAAGAAATATTACCCACTTGAAGAACAAATTTACAGATTTTTCTGGTACCAAAAAAGGAGAAGAAGAAGGCTGAATTTTTGTTGAACCAAAGACTGCCGAAAATATGTCTTCTTGCCTAACCAACAGAGAAAAAATAAACCAAAGAAAAGGACAAAACTTATAGTCTTTGGTGGCTGCCAAATTCCTTTTTAACTAGAAGACTCCAAACCAAGTCTTGGATAAGAGTCCTACACGGGTAGGCCACCAAAAAATTAGCAAATTGATGAGTCCCACAAAAGAGGGAAACCCAACAATAAGCGTGGGAGAATCAAAGATGACCAAGTAAACTAGACTCCATTGGTCAATACCTATGCTGAAAGAAGAGAATCTGACTGGGTAGTATGGGATGGATGGTAAGTAATTATTTTGCTGATAGCAAACTAATAATGATTCAAAATAACACTCCTCAAAGACATAGTACTGATTGATCTCAGAAAGTGAAATATTGTTGATTGCTGAATCAATACTAGGAAAAGGGAAATGTGTTTAAGCCTAAGTTCTTGGTGGAGAAGACGGCCCTAGTTAAGCTTGTGGCAATCTCAGTTTTTTCATGTCATCTAAAAGGAAGATCGGCTATAGGGAGAGAGAGAGAGAGAGAGAGAGAGAAGGGGCAAAAATTTGATAAGTTGATGCTAATGTCCAGTATGATCAGAGGGGTTTGTGATCGAGTAATAAATTGATCGACGCCCAAAGAAGACTCGACTGAATTCTAACAATGAAGTAAGGATTACAAGCCCTCCAGTCACTGTCTCTTCAAGATGGCATCCTCCTAACAATGAAGTAAGAACAAGTTTAAGCCATAGTTTTGACCTCATTTTCTCACAGAAAAAAAAAAAAAAAAAAAACCTCAAAGATGTAAGCTCTGCAGAAGTCGAATGAAGGAATTTTCTTCAAGGAAACTTGTTCACATGTACAGAAAGTACAATGAAAACCCGACGGGGGAATTTTGTTCCCTTCTTTTTTGTATAAACCTATTTTTTGGGGCCTATTGTTCCCACATTCAAAAGAAAATAATAAATGTATCCAAAAAAAAATAAAGAAAATAATAAACAAACAACAGCAAAGGATCTATCCACCCTCTCCATCTTTCTGCAAGAGCAGTTCTTTCCATTATTAGCCAATAATCTGCCAATAAATTGAATGCAATGATGTGGTTTATGGTGACCACTGATCAGGTACTGTGAGGAAATACGTTGTCATTGCTTTTCTGAATCGTTTCTTATACTGTTTCGGAGAAATGATTGTTGGAGAAGCATTCTTCGGTCCACCAAGTATACCAGATGCCTTTACCCACGTCTCCAAATGCTTGTCCCAGGTGTATTGTCTCATGAAGTCGATGATACCTAAGACCAGCTCGTTGCGCTCATCGTCCACCCCAACCAGCAAGGAATAATCCATGACGTCAACAGACTGCAAAAGCACAAGAAAGTTAATGGTGCACCTTTGAAACCAAATTTCACTCCACTCCTATGCCCGATTCCCTTATGTCCAAAAAAAACCCCAAAAGAAAAATCATCTAAAAAATTTGAGACACAATTTCGAAACACAAAAGTTCAATGATAAAACTGATTACCGCTAAAAAGGATGTATCATTCCAAACAGCTCTCTCGAGGCTTCTCTTTGCCTTGCTTCCTAGAAAAATGGGTTTAGTCCGCAGCGTTTCCAAGAGATTCATATCTAGCAGTACTTTATTTGTCCCTGTGGGATCTGAATTGTAACGAGATCTCGCAGAGCCTTTAAGATCATAGAGCCTTGAGATAGTTCGGTTGAAAAAAAGGTTCTCCATCACCATCAAATCCATTTTTGTTTCCTTTCCACCTTTCCCGTGTTTGACAGTTACCTACCATTAGAACATAGATATTAGAATAACAACAATAAAAGAGCTCCAATACTCCAGCATCCCTACCCTAGCCACACACACCAGCTGGCAGATGAGAAATGGTACCTGATATATGCCTAGAACTTTAGCCAGGCAAGTTGGACTTCCTGAGCTAAGAGAATCTGTCAGATATTTGAAGTATTGAGGTGCGAATTCTTCAAAAGACTCCAACTCAGTCTTTGTGACTTGCTTTATAATGAATCTTTCATCCAATGACTTGGCAAAATAGACATTGCTCTTTCCTCCTTGTGCACTCCATCTCTTGCAGCGACTAAAAGAGCGCACAAAATCCAACTCACTTGGGCAGCATTTCTTTCGAAGGGCATCAAATTGCTTTGCAAAATAACAGGTAACAGAAAACTTCACCTTTTCGCCAGCATAGTTAGATTCATCTTGAAAAGAAATTCTCAAATGAGAAGAGCTCTTGGGATCAGTAAACAGGGTACCAATTGTCGTCGAAGTTTCTTCAGATCCCAAGCTTCCATAGTGAATATAATCCGAGTCAAGAGAGCCAATAGACTGCCATGCTGAAAAATTAGAAGCTATAGAATTATACTTATTTATCTCACTAGCAGTGCATACATCATGTTCATTCAGCTTATGCACAACCCGGTCTTCATATTCCTTGCAACAAAGGGCGTAAGCGATTATACTGGTGGGTTCATTCTCATAGACAGCAATAACTAAGTTAATTTGGCCATTTTGTGGAAGCAAAAACCGTGCTCCTTCAGGCAACAGAGATGCAGAAGAGATAAAGGAGAGTGAGGCACTCAGAGGAAGATTTAATTTCTGGGCTTCGCGAGGTAACATTTGGGAATAAGTCCTCTGTACGATAGAGACAGGGTCCCTGATCATATTCCTGTACTCACCAGAAGCATGAAAAGATCTAAGTGTTGACAAATGCAATGAAGAGGGGGACAGTCCTTTCCTAATTCTGTCTTGAATTCTCAATGCAGAATCGAAGGAATAAACTCTAGCCGGTGACATTAGCTTTCTAAAAGGTGGATTATCAGTTTGATTTATCTGCATGAGCAAAGCAGCTTCAGGTACATCTGCCTCTAGTGTCTTCAGGAACTGAGTTTTCAAAGACAGTTGATCTGTACCACTCCATAAAGAATCTATTTTATCGGATAGACTGGTTCCAGCTGAGGGGACGCGTTCCAAGGCTGTACTATTGACTGCGCCATCCGAGTACAATTCCTCCTCTTTGTTATGGAGATGGGAGTTTGATATGGAGTCTTCTGGAACTCCAGGCTCAGATGGTGATGCTTTCGGCTCCTCCAACTGTTCAGACTGTAGATCCTTTCGAGAAAGCTTCAGTAATTTTGAAATCTCAGGCACATTTTCTTCATTGCCGTAGTCAAGACTGCCATCCTCAACAGATGCATCACTTCTCCCATTTTTCAGCTCAGCATAAGATGCAACATCCTGTGTAACCTCAGAACCAGAACTCCTTTTAAGAAGAGAATCCAATGAATAAAGCCGACGATCCCAAACATGTGAACCAATAAGGAGAGAATGTCTCAAGCGATTGAGTTCAAGGATGTCTAGTGCTCCCTGGCCCAATTCTGAAGTCTTTTCATCAGCAGATTGGAGCAGATCCTAATCAAACAAATGGAAACAAGTCAGAAATAAATGGATGCACTACTAAGACATCAACAAAATGATAAATTTGTATCAAAAGAACAATACAAGCTCCTATATACCAAGACCTGCTATGAAAATAACACTATTGTTGATCTCTGGTCGGTACTTACATTGTACTCATTTTTCTCTTTCAAAAGCAGATTTTTCAACTCCTTGATGCGAGTACATAACACACTTATATCAGATGATTCATGTCCAAAAGATGTGCTTTTCTGTTCTGTGCTGCAAAGCACACCTAATATCTCCTCATATAAGGTTTCCATTTTATTTAGAAGCTGGCAGGGGAAAAGGTAGAAGGTTATAGATTTGTCAAAAATGTAGGGAAGTTATCAATAATATCTGAAATTTAGCATCAATAAAAGGAAATCATAGAAATTGCATTGTTTTCAAGATTCTATGAAGCACCTCAGCTGCCTCTTTTCTTATCCAGTCCTGTTGCACATGACCATTGAACTCGAGCACTGACGGGGGCAAACAGACAGAAAGAATATTGATAGGAGAATATCGGAAGAATGCAACCATACTCCCAAACCTATTTAAGCAAACAAGAAAACTTCTGTTGATCAACACCATCAGATTCAATCATACACGACATTACACACAAAACGAAGAAAATCAAAGCACGTTCATATTAAAAGCATGTACCCATAGTAACGAAGGCAGTCCCTTTGTAAAGAATGACCACAAGTGCAACACGATTAGCAGTTGCATGGTTCGAAAAACTGAGTTCCAAAAACTTTCCAAAAGAAAGTCCCCAAGCAGCATCAGACATGACCACTCTGCGGGTTGCTGGTGGAACTCCATCTAATTGTGCACACCTGAGACATCTATGCCACATCCATATTTTCCCATCCCGCTCCCCAGGTAGCTTCACTGAAGGAAGGCGTCTAACATTTATTGTGAGATTTCCCTGTTGATGTGTATAGCATTGGACATGGGCTTCAGCTGGCTCTTTACATGATCGACAGCAAGATGTCTAGCAACAAAAGGTGCAACAAATTAATAAATCCCAGTCTAACAACCCTTCCCAAGTAATAGAAATCGACCCGAATGAAAGGTTACCTGATCAAACAGATCATCTCGAAGATACCTTCCAAGTGGCTTATCGAAACAGCCATAGAACTTGATGCGCAGGAGTCGGGAGCGTTCGCATACAGTACCATTCAGCACACAATGGCAAGAAAAAGACACTAGTATGCTCTGGTGACTGTCAGTGGCTGAATAGTATTCACTGGAGGCTTCAATTTCATCAATATTTGCCACTTGAAAGAGTTCCCTTGGTCGCCTCTCCCCTTGGCCTGTAGTTTCCAGGGACTCGTCCAGGATATCATCCTTCATCTCAGAAGGAAGCACAGCGGGCCTTAAATCCTCCAAAGCCACATTAGATGCTATTTCACAACGGGGTGCATCAGGAAAAGCAACACCAACTCTGCACTTGCTGAGTGTAGGAGAAGAATAACGATCAGCATCTTGAAGCTCAAACGACATTTCCTGCTTCGCGAGCTCCAAATTTAGACCTGTTTGTCCTTCTTTAAATTCTGGGATATCAGCAATTTCTTGATAACTGCTGGCCAAAATAGAATTAGGGATAACTGAAACGGCATTATCAGCAGTTGTCCTCTCTGGTATGGCAATTGATGGTTTTAATGCAAGTTTAGGTAGACTGGCACCCTCGTCAGCAAGAAAGGAAGTCTCCAGAGACAGATGGTATGCAGCAAACACCGCATATTGAACAACATTTTTAACCTTCTTTAGTTCCTCTTGACATAAGCCCTTCAGCAGGACCTGCGAAAATTCACAGATATATATAAGCCCAAGATGACGCTGATTGTTTACCCAATTACAACCCAGCCAACCTAGGGTGCTTTTAGTGCATTAATGTTTAAACTTTAAAGATGAAGAAACAGAGAAAATAGGCTTTCTTTTCGGAATAGAGTGGTGTTGGCAACTGTAACGAAAAATGAGAAAATGAAAGTCACGTGAGTGCTAAAATTTTTTATGCGGCAATGCTTGTGCGGGGAGGCAGGCATTTGACATCATACGAATTGCTCATTTTTCTTATGAGGCCTGATTTTTTTTGGAAAAATATAACTTTTTCCAGGTTTTCTTTGGGGTGGTGGTTTGTTGGTGGGTATGTTCGAAGACAAGGACAAAAAAAAAAAAAAGGACAGACCCTTATCACGAGGGTTGGACAAGGTGAAGATCTAACCTTTGGCAATATACTTATAAAGTAACTACACTCAATTTCAAATACATGACACATTGAGTTTCTTGGTCTGAATGTTCTGCCACTAAACTAGCCAATGACCCATTAGAAAACAGAAACAATCCAGATGGCCTGATAAATGCGAAAAAGCAAATGAATTGTAGGTTATAAAATTAAATTTTCATTAAAAAAACATAGAATATTATCCCAATATTGCAGCAAAAACGTCATAATGCCCAAGGAATTTTTCAATGGTTTGCCTCAATAATGATTTCAAGACACCAAATAGACAACAAATATGTTTCTTACATCAAACATTAGGGCATCAGGAGCAAGCCATAATATGCTATAATGAAGCAGCTAATGCTCCAATGGTCTGCAAACGAACAGGTTAAAAACTCACAATGCAGGACCAATACCAAGTGAAACCAATTCCATTTAATTATGTTGAAAGTCATTTTTCAGCACCTTGCTGCACTGTCACTTGTTAAATACCACTTAACATTATGCACAACTTTTACCACATTATAGGAAGGTGGATCAACATAGACATACATAGAATCACATTTGCTTAATATTTCTGTTAGCTGCTTAAATTTCTTACACTAGTAACCCACGACATCAAGGTTTTCTCTTATTTCTGTTTTATATGCTGGACACAAGAGGAGTATATTTCTTTTCCAACATAGGGAGAGGAAAAAATTTATTAGAAAAGCCTTTTTCTCAACATCATGTGGCTGTGATCCTCTTTTAAATTAAGACCGACATAACTTCAGGTTCATGATTGAGGTAAAGAAGCAAAAGATATCGCACATGGCTGTACACCATGCAAGGGGAATGCACAGAAAGGAAAACCAGAAGAGATGCAGCACATGTGTGTATTTTTTAAGTGCTCTATCGAAAACAAGCATGAAGCAGGTTGAGGTCTGAAACAAGTGCAGCAAAGATAATAATTTAAGCCTTACTGTGGGAGGGAGCATTGTTAAGGCTCATAATTTCACAGTACCATACATTATGCACGCAGTTGTAATGTCCAACCCAGATTGAGTTGGTTGGTTGAACAATATGAAGACTTTTGAAAGATCAAAGTGGGGCAAGAGTACAAAAAGAAACAAAAGATAAAGAATAAAAATAAAAGGATGCCCATTATCTAAAACAAGTGATTCTCCAATTGCATAGAGAAAGGAATGATGACTTTTAATCATAAAGCAAAGCCTCAATGTATTATACTGCGCCCTGACATTCTTCATTAAAATCCTTTTAGAATAATTTTTTCTATGGTGGACTTCTTGGGTTGACACAGGTAGCAATATCACTGAGAACAGATATTGCTCCGGAATATAACTGCATTGATTCAGGGAGAAAAAAAAATACAACAGTGAATGGCATCAAACTGGGGATTGACTGCACATTTATATAGGATGCAGCAGAATGGAATCCAATCACAAAATAGGGATAGTTTTAACCTAGAAGATGCCAATCACCCAAATTCCAAAAATATAATCTGATTGGGTGTAAAATTTCAGACATAGAGAACATCCGTAATAAATGGTTCACAATTTTGGACAGTATCATGGTAGACTGTAGTGGAGCTGACAGCTTTTCAATTTGCATGGTTAAATAAACAACATTCTGCACTATACTTAATGCATGCACTATACTTCACCGGTCCATGCTATAGGAAAAAAATACAACTCATGAACTTGGTCAATTGGCAAGACAGCAACAAAAGAAATGCATGCCAGCATAATCCAGTTATATCACACCCGTCTTACTCATCACATTCAAAATATCAACCGTACCAGATTTTTATTCAATGATGGCTTAAATGGATTGACATATAGAGCATTACCGTGCAACCTAAACGCCTGGGACAACCTTCAAAAAACATCAAGGTTTTGGAAGGCCTCTTGTTAAACTGATTGGCATTTTCATGTTCTTCAACCATTTTTTCTAACCGAAACAGTTCACAGTGTCCCAACCGTGTTGTAGAAATTTTATCAGTTGATGGAGTTATGTGAGCACCAGTGCACCTGGCTATCCGCTCCAATAGTGGTCTCCTAACATTTAACACTAAAGAGATCTCCTTTGCTAGTAGATACTCTTGGGCATATGAAGATACACTTTTCTCTACCAGCAGCACATTTGGACGGTGGGCCTCTATCCTTGAAACAATCACCTTCAGGTGATCAATTTCCTGTTTGAAAAAAAAAAATTCATGAACTCAAGCCAAATTGCTCTGATCTCACCAGAAAGACGAATAAGTTGTTTAAGAAAGAACCTGCTGCAATAATGTATCAAAAGATGCCAGCTGATTTGGCACTCTTTGGTACTCCAGTGCTCCTCCTAAAAGAAGTAATCTAGGGTTTTTGTATTGAGAAGTCATGCGTTTGTGTTTTATATTTTTTGTACAAACTACTCCTTTAACGAGTGTGCTGCATACAAAAATAAATAATCTATTAATTGGCAAGACTAATAGCACAAAAGAAAATATGGAGTGTCTTTGAATGGAGTTACTAAAAAAATGAAAAAAAGGAGGGGATATTGTACCTCTCGCCAGGACTTCCTGATGCAATACACTTAACTTTTACATAATCACCAGGATCCATACTGCCTCCTCCACTTGTATCTGGTTTCACAAAGTCTGCAGCTTGCCATGCTATTGTCGTAACTATGTCTAGCCAGTCTTCTGTGCTGTTTTCTCTGCCGGCCTCGATGCCCTCCCCTTGTAACAGCTGTGAGACAAGGGCCCTAAAATGCCCTTGAACCACAGTTCTTAAAGGTTCCTTATGACTTTCATTCTGTTTCTCCTTTGCTGGGAACATGCTATCAAAGCTACCGCTAGATGAAAATATCGCACCTGATTCTCCAATTTCATCATCCTCATCATTATATGCAAAGAAACTGTTTTCTGCCTCATCATCTTCATCCTCAGGCGGCGGAGGAAACCAAATGAGACCATTGTTTTCAAAATCCAAAGGCTTTTGCAATCTCTCAAATTGATCCCGGAATATCAAAATATCATCAGCACAATCATCAGCATTCTCTGGATCCACAGTTGCTGTCTGTGGCATATCCAACACATCCATGGTTTCTTGTTTAAAGGAACCATCATTCTGAGGACGTGGGGCTTCCCCTGCCTCTCGCTGTACAGAATGCCCAACTCTATCGGAAATAATATGAATCCCAGAGGGGCTGTCTGAAAGACTTGATCCAGCAGACGTAAAACTATAAAACTCAAGTCTAGCACTAACACTACTCAAATCTATATCTGAAGCTTCATGACAGCATTCACTAGATGGGCAATAAAGCTGATTTATGGATTCCTCTCCCACATCTTCATCATTCCTATAATCATTGACACAGAATTAATGAATCACTTGCACAATAAAGCAGCAAGTACAGACAAAACTAAGAGAAAATTTAAGAGATTTCATGAAAATTAAATGTTTTACTTCTGGTCTCCAACCCCAGCTGGTCATTTATTACAACTGCCTCCAATATTAGAGCAAAGAATTCAATCTTGAAACAAATTTAGGAATCGCATAACCAAAACCGGAAAAAAAAAATATAGAAGAAATAGAAATCAAAAGTATGCATAAAAAATACTGACAGGAGTACTCAATAACATTCATTAGATGCATAATTCAACACCATATAACTCCATCCTATCTATATGCAAGGATTTTAGGAAACTAAAGATCCCATAGTGAGGAAACCTTTTCATGGATGACATATATCACTATATACCTGCTAGAAGTGCGACGAACAGATACTGGAGAAGGATGGCTAGTAATTGAAGTCACACTACTGGTCGCAGTTTGGGGAGGATAACCATCACATCTATCACCACCACTGAAACTTGGCGAAGGTGGTTCAGGGCTTTGTCGAGGCGACTCGGCAGGATAGATTTTATCACTATACCTCCCTTCACCTTTGTGCCTAAGACTAAGGTCGGAGCAAAACTTGCAGGATTTAATTTCAAGCCCAGCTTCTGGCAGGCTATTCAAATCACCAGATGCTACAGCACCTAAAGAAACATAGCCACGAATGCAATTCCTACACAATGGCCGACCACAGTTTTGGCAGTGGTACTTGAAGGAAGATTCTGAAAGGTTCATCTCGCACTCTGAACACATTTTGCACCTGTTATTAGCCATTTCGAATCCACTGGACAAGGAAGTTAGATCAGTTGGTCCCCACGAAATCCAAGACCTAACCTTCTCTATCAAATCTGATAGTGAACTATCGGGTATTCCCATAGACCGCAATGATCCACAAAGGAAAACCACCAATTTATCCACCAAGCTAAACCTATATCACTCTTCTTCTCCTCCTAATTAAAACAAAACTACCAAAGATATACAATCCAATTGAACTTATCGGATTTGTTGATACCAAAAAGAGAGAGAATATCCGATCAATAGGAAAAAAAAAACTATCAACCCACAAGAAAAAAGGTGGGCTTTTTTTCTTCCAACACCCTAGTTATGCTGATTTTAATTTTTCTCTTCTTTTGGGAAACAAGTAAAATTTCAAGAGAAATGGAAAAAATTCCTCCTGGAATCACAAAATAGCGAAAAGAGGATATCGATGGTTACCATTGATTCACAGAAAATCTGACTCTATTTACACTGAATCCTGTTAATATAATGACACAACCACAACAAATCAAAACAACAACAGTATATTTCCTTCTCTCAGTCCATAAAAAACATTAAGAACTAGAGATTGCCAAGACCTGAACCTAGCTAACCAATCCTGGAATCGCAAAGATTCGATCCCAAGTTTAATTTAGCCATAACCAAAACAAGATCCAGAGATTGAGCACCAAACCCATAAAATTAAGCCTAAAAACAACCAGCAACAAGAAGAAAGTTCTTGATTTCGACAGAAAAAGGGTCAGAGAGGAAAACCCAGATCAAAAGAATCAAGAAAGGAGGTGGGAGTATTGTGTTTCTAGCAAGTTAATTTCAAGAGAGAGAGAATGAAAATGGAAATCTAAATAACAAAGAGGATGAGAATGAAAAGGAGGAAAAGAAAGAGTACGGAGTAGGTTCCTTTTCTATTGCACTGAGTATGTATGGCTCGCATCTCCCTGAATACCATCTGCTTCTTCTTCAACAGCAAGAGCAACCCCTCTTTCTTTCCCCTCTTTCCCGGCAATGCTTTCATTTTCACTCCTCACCACATTAAAAAAATACACACACATATGGGCTTACATAATACATACATATACACACACAATCTTTCTGTATACCCTTCTTTCTCTCTCTCTAACTTTCTTTCTTTTGCAGTCAACTTTATCCACCTTAGGGTTTATGTCAGTGAAAACGAAATCCTTTCACTTTTTCTTATTTTTTTTGGTCTTTTACTGCTCTTTCCCTTTGCTTATTGGGCAGCTTGATGATTTATTAATGGATTAATTATAAACTACATTCTGAAATATCGTTTGAATTTTAATTTGTACTTTAAAAATAAAAATTTTAATTTATATCCTCAAAAATAGAATTTTATATTAATATGTACCCCCAAAGATCAACAATCTCAATTTACACCCTTAAAAATAAAAATTTATATTAATATACACCCTCAAAGATCAAAAATCTCAATTTATATCCTTAAAAATAGAAATTTATATCAATGTGCACCTAAACTAATCGTCGTCAGTTTACTACCTAAAATTAATTGATAAATTAAACTTAAATCCCTCATGTTTGTCATTTAACAATTATATTTTTTATTAAATAATTTTTAACACGTTTGTTCACATGTAACTCGTAACTATTTTTAATTGATATATGTTAATATAATTGTTAAAAAAAAATTTTATTTTAATAAAAAATATAATTTTATATTACTTTTTTTTTTGTGGGTTCGATATGCTCTATAGTTCAAAATTATGAGGGGATCTAGGTATAATTTATCAATTTAGTTTCAGACAGCAAATTGACGACAGTTAATTTTAGGTGAACATTGATACAAATTTCTATCTTTGAGGGTACAAAATGAGATTTTTATCTTTGGGGGTACACATTGATACAAATTTTTATTTTTGAGGGTGTAAGTTGAGATTTTGATCTTTAAGGGTGAAAATGGAGATTTGAACAATTTTTTGGAGTTTAATTTATAATTAACCCTTTATTAATGGGGGGTTCTGATATGTTAATTAGGGTTGTAGGTAATTCTTAGCTATGATTGGTTAGAAACCGTGTGGAATTTGGATGGCACTAATGTGTTGAAAATTATTTAATACCCTATTAAAAATAATTATTTTTAATGATCAAGTTATTTCATTTAGAATAATTTTATCAAGATAAAACATTTAGAAATAAATTTTTTATATTACACATTTAATATTTTAAAAGTGTTGCAATACAATTCTTTCGTGAGCATCTATTACTTATTCCATTAAAAATTACTCTATTAATGCTGACGGAATAAGTAACAAAAACATACAAAAGGGTTACATTGCAACTTTTTTTAATATGTTAAGGATACAATGTGGAGAATCTAATATTTGAAGTTACAAATTGAAAATTCTTAAATTTCTAAGGGTATAAAGTGTAATTTGCCCCTCTTTTTATTTATTGGTGAGATTGATGATTTATTAATTGGGGTTCTGATTAATTAATTATTTTGGAATTGGGTATTGGGTATTGAAGTTTCTAAGCTACGATTGGTCAGAAACAATGTATGGAATTTAATGTGTTTTGGCTGCTCAGTCAATACCAGTAATAGATGTGGAGGATTGAGTCTTTATTTTGCACCTGAAATTTCAACCACTCTCAGCCTAAGCGCGTGAGGTTGATGCTTTGCTTCGTTACGAGGCAAACGTGTGCCACGCCCACCTTTCTTGCGATCCTGCATGCTTTGTTTTGGTGGTTTCAAAGTGCATAATTTGAAAATCAAAAATATATTTTGTCCATTTTTTATTGGGTATTGATGGTGAATTCATTTAAATACAATAAAATTAATTTAGATTTATTTTAAGTAATTTAAAATCAAAAGAATTAAAAAATATATTAAATGGATCTTATAATCTCCTTTCATTCAAGTAAATTTTTATTATATAGTCTTCCTTATTTTATATTACAGATGAGTAATTATTTTTTATAATTAATAACATGTCCCGAAATTATAAATAATGGAAGCTAAATTTTAAATACAATTGTACCACTAAGTTAGATATTAATCTGAATCGTTTGAGGTGGGGTTGAACTTCAACCAATTTAGTTAGAATTTTGACAATAAAGTTCACATTGTGCGGTTATGTATATAGTCGAACTTCAACATATAATTAAACAATCAGAGAAAGTGAACGCACTTCAATTATTTAAGAATGAGCCTCTATCCATATTCCAAATGTCAAAGTTATCTAGATTAGAGGTATTTAACCGGGTTAAGCTTTTGTTTTGCTCAAGCTCAGTTCAAGTTTATTATCGTAGGCTTAAGTTAGGTCATCGAACTTCAATTTTCACTCAAGCTCAACTCGAGTTCTAGATTTTTTGCTTCACTTCATCTCGGTTCTTTTTCGTACTGTGGCCAAGATTTTAACTTGGACTTTAAAATTTCCAAAAACCACACAACTTACTCTAACAACAACAATCACTTGATAAAAATAAGAGGTTAACAACTACATTATTTCTTCATTATAGCAAATATTCACA